CTAAACCTCTAACCCCTAAACCCTGAACCTCTAAACCCCTAAACCCTAAACCCTAAACCCCTAAACCCTAAACCCCTAAACCCCTAAACCCCTAAACCCTGAACCCTGAACCCTAAATAAAATACTACTCAGTTGAGGCTCAGGCCGGCTTTGGGGTTCAGGTTTGAATATCTGAGGACTGCTTTGGAGCTTCTACCAGGTTTGGTGACATAGGAGCAAGGCAGTTGGTGTACGGTAGCGCTTACGGTTCTTGGGGTCTAGGCTGTGTGGTTTAGGGTATGTGTGGTTCGGAGTTTGGGCTTTGGGGTTTAGGGTTTGGGGTTGGAGGTTTAGGGGGGAAGCGGCAGTGTTGGATACAGCCCTGGAATTTGGGAAAACCATAATGTTGGCCAAGCTCAGCTAGCCGTGCGGTTGGACCCTGACAATCCCTAACGCTACCACCGTTTCTGTTGTCAGGGTACAACTCCTAACCTGGCCATATATACCTTGGTTCGTACATCGCCTCCCTTGAAGCGCCACACACCTGAAACAAATCTGAATACCCCTGCAGAACTCCAGGCCTGTTCTTAGACTCTAATCATTCCACCGTATGAACTATACTCAGACAAGTGTTGTAAGCAGGCCCCTATGTTAAACCATATGTAATACCCTATACCACCCCTATAAAACCTTACATAAACCCTGCGCAGTCCCGGACAATCCCCACATGAAGAAGAGCCCAAGCACCCCAACAGCGGGCTGTACTTCTGCTGGGGCGGCTGGTGCTGGTGCTGGCGGCACCAGCGGCCTCCAGGAGGCACGAAGGGCAGTTTTTTTATGAGGGAGCATATTATATGGTTCTATCACGCAGGTAGAACAGCTATTTCAGGATAGACTTATAGATGTGGTTCCTCGGTCGTGAGTAGTCATAACAAAGCAGCCGATCGTTGTTCTTTACTCATGCTAGTATGTAGTATGAATAAACCCGATGCTTTGTGGCTGGCGTGCCAATCGCTTTGCCGCAACGAACGTGGAAAACAATTTTGTCTAGAGACCCGTACTATACTAACTTAGCGAGATCTCCAAACATGAAGAGCCCCGTCCTGCATTAAACTGACTTCCTAACTTTCCTAAACCGATACTCGTTGGGACACATAGAGTCTCGCATGCCAAAACAAATAGGCACCCTAAGACACGTCCTGACTATCATCATTGCTTGCAGGTTCTCATGTCCTAAACATCGGCAACTCTAGGGTTTAGGGTTTAGGGAATAATCATGCCTGTCCAAGGTTTTACTTGTGGCTACCCCTGACTGAACCTTCAAGCAATCTCAACTCTAAGCCCCAACGCCTAAAACCTGTCTGAATCGTATAAGCTCTACACCCTGAATCCTCAACCCTAACCCTAACTCCAACCCTTAACCTAAACCCTGCATCCTAAACCTAAAACTTAGACTCCAAATCCTGAACACTAAACCCAATCTGACACTAAGCTGAGAATAAAAAGCAATTTTGGGTGGGTTTAGGGTGTAAGGTTTAGGGTTTAGTGATTATTTTTTTGGGTTTAGGGTTTAGGGCTTCCTGGCTGTGACCTAAGGCCTGAGCGGGTCTGGCAGGACCGTCGTCGCCTGTGCGAACCCTTGTGATGTAAGGCAGGGATGTATAAGGATACGCAGGGTTATATGATATGTACTGTAGTCTAAACTCCTTAAAGGCGATTATATAGGGGACTACATTGGGGACTACTATTGGGGTTATTATGGGGGATACCAGGAATTTAGACTATGGTTCATGTAGGGATTGAAAATATCCATGTCAAGACGGAGGGGGAGAGAGAGAGAGCGAGCGCGTGTGTGCGTGTGTGCGTGTGTGCGTGTGTGCGTGTGTGCGTGTGTGCGTGTGTGCGTGTGTGCGTGTGTGCGTGTGTGCGTGTGCGTGTGCGTGTCCGTGTCTGTGTCCCTGTCCGTGTCCGTGTGCGTGTCCGCGTGTGTGTGTGGGTGTCCGTGTGCGTGTGGGTGTGGGTGTGTGTGGGTGTTGGTTGTGTGTGTAGGACACACAGGGATAAGGGAGAATCAGATGCAAAAGGAAATAGGTAGTAAAATCGAAGCGGGTCTGATGTAGAGATTTAGGGTCTAGGGGCGAGGTAGGTATATTACGAAACATGTTATCTTCAGTGGTCCTTATGTTCTGAGCGACTGTAGGATACTACCTGGTTATAGCCTGGGTCTTCCCTACCGAGGGTAGGGCACATGGACTACAAGCATGAAGAACCAAAAGGCCCTACCAAGACTACATTCCTTTCAAGGAGGGCCCCCATGTATGCAGGGTTACATGCGAGTTGGGGGGAGGCAACAGCAGGGACCAGGTTTTTGTTTAAAAAGGTTCTGGAAATATTTGCTTCCAAGTTAATGATGAGCTGCGAATTGTCTAAACCCCTGGCCCTCTCTCGAAGACAACATTTCATTGAGGCTCAGTTGCGGGGATAAGCCATAAAGGGTCAATGGGCTTAGAAGTAAACCATACTTAAGCTAACCTGGAGTTCTGTGACACCCTGATGAACATCATATGGGATCTTGAAGAGACAGGACTACCCCTTATATACTTCGATACACTATAACCCTCATTTGAGCGACGCCCAAAAAATGGACCGCTGATTTTCGGAATGCTGCAGCGTAGTACATCATTCTATACCCTACATATCTCCATTTACAGTAGTATAGCGCCTATATGTTCACTTTGGAGGGACCAGTAGTTTTTGGAAACCCTCATATGAGCTGCAGTCAAAAATCAAGTATCCCTCTTAATAACCCCTATAATACTCCCCCAGAAAATCCCCTATATAACCCCGTTTAAGGAGTTTAGACTGTAGCTCATATAGTGTCATGCAGTCTCTCGCTGGTTATGGCAAGGGTTTAGGGTTTCACTTCGGGCAGAAACTTACCAACATAAGTTTCAGCTCTATTTCCGGCACCCTATAAGCAACTGCACAAGCAACCTTAGACTATAAGACTTTTTTCTCTAGGCCCCTGCATTACTGTACTCCAAAGGCGTCTAAAAAGCCCAAGTGCCCTACGAAAACTAAGACCTGGTCGGACTCCAAAACCTAACTCCAAAACCCTCCACCATGAGGCCCATCTCACAAGATCTAAGCCACGACTACCCACTATGGAGTGCTGCAATCTCAAACTCTGCATCCAAAATCTTCAAACCTAGGCACACGCATGTCTAGGTAGGTGAGACCTGCATGTTCTCCACATATGGTAGTTTCCTTAAATAGACGGACCCCAATATTGACCCCGAAATACTACAAGCATTCTTATGGGTTATGGGGCCCCTCACACAACGACCCTCAATTTTGGGAAAAAACATTACGTCCAGTCGTTGCAACCCTAAACCCTAAACCCTAAATTTCTAGTGGTAGAAGAGGCGTCCCAAAAAGGCCTTTGCCGAAAGCATTCTCTGGACTGTGGCCATCCTAAAAGCCATGCCACAAAATAGAGTTTGGGGTTTAGGGCGTATACAACACGGTTTAGGGTTTAGGGTTTAGGGTTTAGGGTTTAGGGTTTAGGGTTTAGGGTACAAAATCCCACATACCATGAATGTATAAGTATTGGAAGAACCCGTACAATTCCTGCACATGAGCCTTCAGGGGAGGCTAGGGACATGGCAACAGGCGCTACAAGCTACAAATTCAATAATCTTTCTTCCAAGCTTATTCATGGCTACCCATTGACTTCCAAGTAACCCTAAACCCAAAACCCCTAAACCCCAACCCCTAAACCCTAGACCCCCAGACCCTAAACCCCTAAACACTAAAGAAGCCTGGATTGGCCTCGGCTGGGTTGACCCATGCTTTCTTTGGTGCCTCACACGCCTCCCGTTGTTCAAACGAACATGACCTAGGGGTACACAAGGGGAGTTATAGGGATATATAGGAATTATGTAGGGATGTATAGTGTCAGATAAAGGAATGCCAAGAATATGTAGGGACTATATTGGGATTTATAGGGTTATACAGGGGGAGTGTTTGAGTTTGCTGAGCCTTGGGAAGGTCGTGTAGGGTTGTGATTTTGGAGGTGTAGAAATCATGCAGCTTACCACTTAAGATCGTAGGCTCGAAGTTTTGGAATGTTTAGGCTTGGAAATCCCTCTTCACATTTCAGAGGGCGCTTGGACGGCTTTACGGCGACAATGGGCGGCAGAAGGTACGGCCAGGTGGTGAGTATAGCAGATTTACGCGCACGCATGTAGGACATAGAGGGCACAAAGCTAGAAAACGGGTCATGTAGGACTTCTAACAAGGATTTCAAGTAGAACGTGCCAGCGTGGAGAACCGTGAAAGGCCATTGTTCCAAGAGGGGTGCTGCCAGGAAATACCTCTTTGCAAGGAATGAAGAACTGGATCCTTCTAGTAGTCCCGATAACATAGCCCCCCAATGATATATGTATATATATGTGTGTGTATATATATGTGTATATAGAGGTTGTGAACATTATGATCTCTTTTGGGTACCCTAAATATTAGGTGCCATATTATAATAGGGACCCAAAACGGGACCATAATGTTGACAACCACCCATATATGTATATTAGCTTCTTCTTATTATTCTTCTTTTCCAGCGCCTCATTCCCGGCTAACCACAATTGAGCAGAGGCGTCCTCACTCCAACAATCCCTAGCCCTATCTCAAGCACTAAAGCAGACGGTAGGGTCCATAGGGTTTAGCAAGCCCTTATTTTGGGAAGCCCTAAACCCTACATCCTACTTTTTGTAACCCTTGTGTGCCCGTCTAGGGCAAAACTCACGCCTTTGAAGTGCTTCAGGATCTCGGGGCTTGCTAATGGCTCTCAGGTAGTTTAGGGTTGACCTCGGTCCTGGATGTATGCTAAAGAAACGAAGGACACAACCTCAAAAAGAGAGGTTGAGTAGGATCAGGTCGAATTTGGGCGGACGCATGGGTTTTAGGTTTCAGCACTTGTCATTATCTGCATTATTCACATCTCGCAGGCTATTCTGTACCACCATCTCCCTCGGAAGCAAACGCACAGTCTTAGGCTGGGTTGCTGTTAAGGAACTTAAATTAAGTTACCATATTGTGGAAACCCTATTATTTACTATATATACCCATTATGGTAACTTAATTTAAGTTCCTTAACAGCAACCCAGTAGGGTTCAGGGTGTAGGGTTACTGTTAGTTCGGGGCTTGAGGTTTAGATTATGGGAGGCCCGTGTGACAATTTGTTTTGGGGATTAGGTCTTAGGGGGCTCATATGATGTCCGGTAGTCTGATAGCAAACTGCCTCTTTTTGGGGCTGAGGGTAACACTTACCCTCAAAACGTAAGCCGTAGACAATCCCATATGCTGGTCCCTCAAGAAACTAAACAGAACTTTGAACCCAAACACGACTCTTTCATTCCTATTATTTCTAACATATTACTAGTGTTACTCATTCTGTAACTGTTATTCCTATTACTTTCGTAAAGCCGCCCTAGACTCCAAACCCATCGGCCAATAAAGAAACCATTTTCAACTGCAAGTCCCCCTTTGCCGCCCAAAGTTGACTCCTGATGCTTTGGACCCCGTAGACGATCCAGATCTTCAGGCACGTCCCAACCCTGAACCCTGCACGCGCACCTGGATGCGGAACATGATGGCACCTCCCTTTCTCGTCGGCTTTGCTAGGGAGATCTGCATGCAGTTGTGCAGCAAGCCCTCAACTAGGCTGGAGGTCCTAGCCTAGAACAGTCTTATATAGGACTCCTATTAAGTGTCGCATATAGCAGCCCTTATCAGGTGTCGAATATTACTACAAGTATGGGGTGCAGGAAGTATCCAAGCTCCAGGATTGAGATTCAAGCTCTTGGATGAGTAGGACTGCAAGCATCCCTTTCAAGACTCGTATCCCCTGCCTGGATACTAGAACGTGAACTTTCCAAGAGACACCTTGAAGCTCCAACCCTAAACCAAAGCAGCAAGCAAGTGCTTGGAAGCTGCTGGACCGAAAACATGTCCTCGTTGAAGTCCCTATGGTATCCCTGCTATCCTATACCGATACACGAACCCCTGAACTGCACAGGTGTAACGAGGGTAGTCAAGCTTTGTTGCTCACCTCCACAACACTAAGGTCCTAGGATCTCTAGTCTCGCAGTTTGAAGCTTCAGTTGAAGGCGCGTAGGGCCTGGGGCTTAAACGGTTGCTGCATAGGCTGTATAGGGGCACAACCTACACGCCACCCCTCAAGATACAAGGCCCGATCCACTTGTTGCTTCCATAATTCCCGCCACACGTAAGCTACAAGATCCCAGTAAAGGGGTACCATACCCTAAGCCCTAAACTCTAAACCTTCCTAAAGCCCGAAGAATTGTCCGAGCGTATTCTGTGAAGCGCGACGCCGAGCTTTTGGAGAGTGAACAAACCTCCTCTGACCATGAGGGTAGAGGCCTGAATACTTACAATATGGTTTCAAGATATTATGTGTATCTTATACCGTACTTATGTAAAGTGATCTAAGGTTCAGCGCGCGTACAACCACATGTAAACAGCAAGCCTGGACACTTCCACAATGAATTCAGTGAAATCGCTCTGCTAGAAAACCTGCGCGGCCTTTGTAGGCTAAAGTACTATAGCTCCCTAGGAATAGGAGTCATGCAGGATTTGAAGCATCAATCGTACCAGCCCATGATTTTAGCTCCAGATCGCTGCAGCCCTTAAAGCCCTTTGCCGGACGCTCGTCAGTCTTTCAGCTTAGAGTACAAGTCTGCTCTGAAAGACTGCATAGTTACCAATATGATTCCTTCACAATCCTTCTATGTTTGTACTAACCCTGTCCTGAAATTTTAATATATTCCATAATAGGTTCCTATAAAAAACCCCTGTAGGTCCCCCCCAACGACACTTTAGTCCGTAGCCCATACCTCTAATATCAAATGCCCGGAAACCCAATTCTAATTGAATAGGCCCCCGTATCAGATTAGGGGGAGCTTTGCGGAGCGAAAATCTTCGATTGCCCACCCCCCCGCCTGCGCAAAAAATCACTGCCCTAGGAACAAACATTCCCAACAGCCAGTACAACGTGGGGGGTCTCTCAACAGGGGGGCCCTAATATAGACCACAAAATACTATTATCCTGATTAGGGGGACCCCCAAGAATGTGCCCATAATTTTGGGAACCCCCATGTGAGCTTTGGGTTTACAGTTTAGGGTGAGGGGAAGGCTGCTAGTCCAGGGGATTCATGCGAAAGGCATTATCCTGGCGTGCCTCATCCCCCTCCTTTACGACTTCCGTCTTCCCCCGCCTGAGCTTTTTGCGCCGTGGCTTGGGAATTTCATGCTGAAGGCGTAAGGGTATGACTCAAGCGGGTGTGGTGGATTGGCTATTTCAATAATGCAACTCCATTCTGATTCTGGCCGCCCAGAGAAATGATCATAATGACCACAAGACTAGACTGACCGTTCCAATCCACTCCGCCAATAGCAAACTCCCCACCACCCTAACTGCCCCAAAATGTTATCACTGTACAATTGGGGCATATTTATCATGCGGGGGGCCAAAACCCTAGTGACTTGAGAGCTCGGCAGACTTTGTGGCACATGGGTTTCGGGCTTCTGGATTTGGGGGTTCAGGGGTTTAGTGGTTCCGGGGTTTCGGGTTTAACGGTTCGCGGGTTCAGCGGGTTTCGGTTTAGGGGCTCAGGGATTCAGAGGTTCAGGGGTTCCGGGGTTCCGGGGTCTCGGGGTTAAGGGGTTCAGGGGTTCAGGGGTTTAGGGATTTTGGGGTTTAGGGGTTCCGCCTTGAGCTTGCTGCTTGTAAGTGGGGAGTGGAAAATCAGATGGCCAAGAAAAAAGGGAAATGAAGTGGAAACTTGGGTTTCAGAGGGACATATTCTCATGATGATATGCTTTACGGCTTTGGGGTTGTTGGTAGGCAACGGAAACAACAAAGGAAGCTGCTATCGAGTTTAGGGCTTAGGAAGAACATTGGAAGCTACTGCAGGGTTTAGAGCTTAGGGCTTAGGAAGGGAAAGGAAATCTCGGTAGTATTGGGAATTATCAGCCCTAAGCCCTAAACCCTATCTTATATAGAGCTTCCTCCTTCCTCTACCAGCCAATCAGGTTTAGAGCCACTGGTCCGGCATCCGAATAGGTCACACTGTTTAGGTTTAGGGTTTAGGGCTTAGGGTTTAGGGCTTAGGGTTTAGGGCTTAAGGTTTAGTGCTTAGGGTTTAGGGTTTAGTGCTTAGGGTTTAGGGTTTAGGGCTCAGGGTTTGGGGTTTACGGCTTAGGCTTTAGGGTTTAGGGCTTAGGGCTTATGGTTTAGGGCTTAGACACTGAACCCTAGACCCTGCAGCCTAAACCATGGAGCCAGGTTGCACGGCCAGCTGGCTTTCAATGGTAATGCCTAATGCCCTCCCCTTATATTAAACGCCCTCACCCCTTAAGGGGTATATGGGGGTTATTATTAGGGTTTAGGGTTGGGGCTGATATAACAACCCCCCCTAATATTAAATACGCCCGATATATTATAATCTACCACATAATGGAAGTATCTGATATTGGGGGCGGGCGGGTGGTTTTATATTAGGGAAAGGCGAGTATTCTTCAAGACTATGGTGTCGCCACATGGTGACATCTTTGCAACATGGACCCCAGGATTGTGGCATCGCAGGAAAGTTTGGGGCTTTGCGTTGCGGGTAGTGTTGGGGTTTAGGGTCTCTAGGGCCTACCCTGCACCTCCCCTTACCAACTTACCATCTTCTGGTTTGGCATCATCAACTATTTCAAAAATATGCAGCATGGCAGCATGCATCAGCAACGTAATTGCTAGCCTGCAGACATCGCAAGTATACATTCCAAGCACTCCCGTTGGGGTGGGGCGGCTTGTACGAGGCTGGGAGTTTAAATAGTATGCTCTGGAGCTCGGCACTCCACTGATACCCAGAAATTGAACACTGCAGCGAGGGACTGGAGCACTGCAAGGCACCTCTGGAGTATTTTGGGTTGGGCACAGCAGGGATACTCCGAGGTTTGGGGTTGGGCAACGCAGGGAATCTGCATTTGGGTGCGGTTGGCCACTGGGGGCACTGCAGGGATATTCTGCGGTTTGACAGTCTCCGCCGCTGGGCACTGCTGGGATACTCTGTGGTTTGGGCACTGTGGAACGGCAGGGATATTAGGCGGTCGGGCATTGCAGGGATACTCTGCCAGCGATACTCAGCAGCTGGATACTACGCAGTTGGGCACTGCACGGAGGGCAAGGAAAAATGGACTTCTCAAAGTCAAAAAGCCCCACTGCGCGTGTGGGAAATAAAGGAGAACCAAAGGAAAACACAAATTTACACTGCGAGTACACAGGGGTTGTACTCCTAAGCTCCATGAACCCTTGGCCTCCATTGCCTTACATAGCCTTCCACAATTACATCCATGACCTAAACTCTAGGCCCCCTACAAAACCCTGTACACCTACATCCTAAACTCCCCCGGAAGCAAGCAAAAGCCACCAAAGGCCGCAGCCCGACGCGGACGCCGTTGATGAACGTCCTGCAGCATGTACCAAGGTTGAAGGTTGGTGGTGTTTAGGGCTTAGGAGGGTTTAGAGTGTAGAGACATATGCTAGGGATGTATTTGCAGGCCAATAGATAAACATCGGAAGATATAGAAACGGGTAATGGAGAATCAGATGGAAAAGAGATTGGAAGATGAAAAGGAAACTGAGGTTGTGTAGGGGCTACATACAGGGATTATGCAATGTACATGTGTACATAGGGCTGTGTAGATTTATATATACGGGAAACCCTTAAACAGGGACCCTGTTTTCTTATGGGGATGTATGGAGATTGTCCAAGATGATATATGAGGTATACGAAATACTTGGATTGGGGATCCCTCCTAGGAGCCTTAAATACTTCAAATGGATTGGTATTTATGGCGGTGTTCAGGGGCTTATTGAGCGTTTTGGAACTGAGGAGGCCGACGGCAGAAAGCCTGCAGATGCGCATGTCATTACAGCTCCAAAGCACTGTGTTCACGTAATTAAAGGCAAACTTACAACTGAGGGCATATGGGGTCCAGGGTTACGGGGTTGAGGAGTTTTGGTGCGGGGTTCCAAAACAAGGTCACTGATATTCAACGGTTGTCGTGGACTGCATCCGAGCTTGTGGTTGTTCAAATTAAATGTAGTCAGATTGTCAGCTCCGTTTGGAAAGAAATAGTGAAACCGGAAGCTTTACCACGGTTACGCCGCTACCATCCAAGGCGTTGCATCACGGAGGACCTTATGCACCTCGCCAGGTGCCTCGCATCTGCGGTATTCGGCCATGACTCCATTCTCCCAAGTGTCTATAGAACTTGGGGTTTAGGGCTCAGGTGTTTTAGCCCGGCGGCTTGCGGGGATATAAATGGTTGGGGGTGGGGTGACCTTACCACAGATTGCATACGTGGAATTGGAAGCTAACCACTCCGCAAATTCTTTGCAGCTGACGCGCATGACGGTCCTTCATTACTGTTAATAAAGAATGGGCTAATGGGTCATAGGGGCAACTACAAAAGTTCCAGACGAACTATGATGCAAGGATTCATTGCAATGTTCTTTCCCAACCACCAGTCGTGCTCGATATCATGTTATCGCAAGACCATGAACCCGTTATGTCACGTTGGGCATCAACAAACTACGTCGGAATGTGCGACACTGATAAGCCTTGTCTGTCAGACTTGAGATTTTTTTGACATCTTGACATGCTTCACAACAGCACTAGTCTTAGCATGCTTGCTCTTGTACTCAACTTTTCTTGGGCTCACCCGTCGCGAAACTTGGCTAGAGGCTTGATTATGAAAACGTACCACGTCCAGCCAATCCTCAATTTTGTGACAACGACTCAACCATGCAACGCTGTCTCCCTGACAGGTATTTGCGGGCATGCTAAAATCACGTGTTGGGGCATGTCAACCGCTCATCCAAAACAAACACTTACCTCTATGACTCGTGGATACCGCCGGCAACAGCTTACATGACCCACAGGCATGCTGCCGAACACGACCCGCTAGTCGACAGTTTGAAGGGATAGCAACAGCAACAGCAACACCACAGGCAAGGTGAGAAGAGTACATTTGATCATCATGCGTCATGATGAAGCTGCAATGGACTTCCCAAAGAGCATGGTCCATTTTGTGGGCACTGTTTCCTGTATCAGCGACATGTGTAAGTTCAAGAGTCTACGGGCAGGATTTCATTTGAGGGGGACCTTAAAAACCACTTCCAGTCAAAAGTTCTGATGGGACTCGACATATAGCATCTAGGCTTCGCGGCTGTACACAGTGCCCCCCTACAGCATCAGCCTTTACTCTAGCCAGATCATGCAATTATTTGGAAACCTTTCCCCAAAACATCTGGAGGAAACGTAGGCAACATCACAATGATATTGACCGGCTCGTCATGTCATACTCCTTCCTTGCGACCAGATTGCTGGACCGCGCATGCAGCAGATGTCGTCGTCGTCGCAAAGGCGTCGTCGCGTCAACGGGTCGCGTCGTCGTCGTCGTCGTTTTTGACGGCGCCTTCACTTCCTCATTTCCTGGGTCAAGAATTACTTGGAGGTTCTTGGATAGCATGTTAATGGGCTGATACGAAAAAAAGGATAAACAGAGGAGTCATGACCGAATGTGGAGGACTGATTGAGCATAGACTTACCCATGAACCTTGGAATACATATTGATGTCACACTCGGGGGTCTCTAAGCACCAAGATCAGGAAGTTGCAAAGGGCACAAGCGAAAATCAGATACAGAAACCAGCATACTAGGGTCGTGAACATTTTCTCGACTTCAGAGTGTCCTCTTTATGTACAAAACGACGGATATGTGAATGCTTGGGCTGGTATTTGAAGGGGAGTCTAGATCTGAGATTCTGGTCTTGCCTTTCGGTTGAGGAGTTTACGCATCTGTCATACAGTGCCTGCATTGGGGAACTTGGAACCATAGCAAAAATCATAATTTTTGCTGTTCCTTAAGATTATAATAAGCAAGCAGTAAAAATTATTTCCATGTACCCTAAGAAGCTCTTTTAGGACCTGCCATGCAATTCAACCACAAGATTTCTGAATCGTTGTTTCTGTTTATGGGCCATTGTGCGATTTTGCGCAGTCCCCTTTTTTGACAACATGCGCCGGTCGTCCGGTCACATCGCGAAGCGTGCAACTACAAACTAGCATGGGCTCCGTTAATTCCCTGATAACAGCTCACAAAACCAGGAAGGGAAATTAAAAGGTCGCAAGTAACAGTCAAGCCCCTCAAGCCTTTTTTGGGGGGCTTGAGGTCAGACGCTTTAGGGTCTAAGGCTTAAGGTTTCGAGCTATGGGATAGGATGTAGGGTTCGAATTTTCATGCAGAAACATGGGGAGTTGGAAGAGTAAGCGTGCCGGACATCACGGTTATACACATACCTTATGGGAATATGTCGAAAGTGGTAACCTTGGGGCCCTGGGCGTAAGCAGGGACTGCAAAGACATCTGTAGGGCTCGTCCACCAACACTTAGCTGGGAAATGTTTCAGAAAGTGCCATAGAACCCTAAACCCTAAACCCCACTCCATGCACCAACGACCCAGGGACCTCAGAGAAGCCCCGGGGTTCAGGACTCAAAACCCCCCAACTTTGGGGTCTGTGCTTTAAGGTTTGGGGTTTAAGGTTCAAGATTCAAGCTGTGAGGCTTAGGGCGTAGGGTTTAGGGTTAAGGGTACTGGGTTTAAGGTATTGGGTTTAGGGTTTAGGGCTTAGGGCCAAAAGGGAAACCACACGCGAAAGCAGCAATTGGGAAGCCCTCCATTGCAGTCTCCGTACAGACAAGCATCAAGTGGCCCAAGCCAATTGGCGAAAGTCCCCATCAAATTCACAGGGTCTGTGATTTCCAGACATGAGCTATAATCTAAACTCCCAGCATCCCGCTTTTTAAGCCCCATAATACTCCTTCATATATGATTCCCTACATAACCCTCTCTAAGGAGTTTAGGCTACAGCTCACATGTTGAAGGAGAGCCTGGTGCCTTCGCGGGACAGGCGCCATACTGGCTTGCAGCAACGATGATGCAACTTTTCTAGAATGATCTCCCTTACCAGCACTAGAAGTCTAAGCTAGACTATATGAGCTATAGTCTAAGCTCCTGGAAGAGGGTTGGGGTTTAGGGTTTAGGGTTTAGGGTTTAGGGTTTAGGGTTTAGGGTTTAGGGTATATGGGGGATTATTATAGGGGTTGTTCAGGGAGATACTAGGAGTTGAGACTACATCTCACATAGAGCTACACTCCAGGAGGCTAAAACTCCATAACCCTTATCCGGAAATCCAATGCCCAAGACCCCCTAGAACCTTAAGCTCTGAACCTCCAGTCCTTTCACCCCTCAGCCCAAAAGGAGAACCTCCTCAACCAAAAACTCAAATCCCTAAACCCTAA